CCCAATATTGTTGTTTGTAATCGAGTCAGAACTGACTGACTCATTGTTGGCCTTGCAGTAGGTTGAGGCAGTAAATCACACAGGGGGAGATTGTCTGCCCTTCTCCCATGGAGCAACTGGTGAATTTAAATCATGTGCCTTTGTGATTGCTGTGCCGCTTCTTACCCTTTGGCTGCCAGAGTTCCATGGTAAATCAACATTGTTGTTGTCGTCATCATTGTTGTTATGTGCCATTGAGCTTCCTGTGACTCATAGCGACCTTGTGTACAACAACCCGAAACCCTGCCCTATCCTGTGCCAATCTCATTGTCTCCAACACCTACTCCCGTTACCCCAGTCACTGAATCAGTCCATCTCATCGAGGGTCTTCCTCTCCTGTGCTGTCTGTCCATCCTACCAAGCATGATGCCCCTTTCCAAGGACTGCTTCCTCCTTGCAGCATGTCCAAAGTATGTCAGATGAAGCTTCAGAATCTTTGCCATTTTAAAAATAAAACTCTATATGATCCTGGGACATCTTCGCAATCTCTGGTGTGTGTTTGCCCAATGATGCAATCTCTGTGTCAATCTATCTCCTTGAAAGTCTTCTCTCTTTCTTTGATTTGATGTTGTTCTCAAGCGGCTTTTGTCTCCTAACAACATGCCCAAAATATATGAAATTAAGTTTTACCATCACCATCCTTTCCTCCGAAGAGCACCATTTGGCTGCACTCTTTGCAAAGGCAAACTTGTTGGTTCTTTAGGTGCTTGTTGCTGGTTTTGGTAAGTATTGACCAGTCTACAACAATGAATAGCACCCCTGTGTACAATGGATGTGAACATTGCCTATCCTGAGCCATCCTTACCATTTCTGAAATTCTCAAACCCTCTGTTACTTTCCCTCCGTCAATCCATTTATTGAAGATCTTCCTTCCTCTGATCCACCATTTTTCCCAACATGATGCTTTTTCCCCAATGACTGGTCCCTCTTGAAAACATATGCAAAACATGGAAGATGAAGTTTCACCATCCTTGCCTCTAGGGAGCACTCTGATTGCATTCTCCCTTTCCTTCCCCAGACAGACATGTTTGTTGTTTTGGCAGTCCACAGGATATTCTTTAGGTTGTTGTTTTTGTGTTGTTGTTAAGTGCCATTAAGTTGTAGGCAATTCATAGTGACTTTATGAATGGATGTCCTGAACACTTGTGTGACTTTCATCCTTTCTCCAGGTTCATAGGGTTTCTGGAGGCAAGTTATTACAGAAGTAGATACCACTCCTGCTTCCAAGCTCGTTTTAATTGGGGAGCTGCACCAAACACTGTCCACCAAGGGTAACCATTCTTGCATTTGACACATCAGTACCACAGTGTTCAGCTTCACAGCAACCATAAGTTACCTCTGTATGGAAAGTGGACACACGAGGGCTTTACGACCTAGAAGAGTGGTAGTCATGGTATATTTGCGATTTTTTGCCAACACCACAATTCAAAAGCACAAATTCTTCATTGGTTTTCTTTCTGCATTGTCTAACCTCCATATGAGTTTTAGCCAACTGAAACTAGCAGGGCTTTAATGAGGTGTAGTTTAGTCTTTAACCCGAATTCTTGCTCTTTAGCCCTTTAAAGAGTCCTTCTTTGGCAGAAGGTTTGTTCAGTGTAATACTCTGCTTGATGACTTGATTGCTGTTACCATGGATGTTGACTGTAAATTTAAACCACTGTCAACAATGAACTGTATCTACAGGAGATAAGGTTGGGGTGCTATGCTCAAGGGACAGAGGGGAAGGGACTTCCAGAACTGAAGAGTTAGAGCTGTCACTCAGTTGAATGAGGAAAATGTGACGACACAAGGGTGAGGAAGCAGTCCCCATTCCACTGGGCCTAGAAGGTAGAGCTGAAAGCCCAGGTCTGAAGGCCCTTCCCCTAGAATCCAGAGGACATGGTCAGCACTTGGAATCTGGAGGGTAGGGCTATTGGCTAGCCAGTGTCAGAAAATAATTATCTGAACAAGTTAGAGACCAGGCCACAGAGCCGAAGGTCAGAAGGAAGCTTGGTTCAGGTCCATATGAGAAAGGGCTATCCTGATTAAAGAGCTAAGTCTGGTAACCTAGGAAATAAGGAGTTGCATTGTCCATCCAAAGAAAGGTGTTTGAACCCAACAGCTGCTCCTCGGGAAAATTATGGATAATCTTCTCCCATGAGATTTACAGCTTCTGAAAACCTCTGAAGGTCAGTTATGAATAGGTTCCAACTCAAGACATAAAGATAATAACAGTAATTTCTCTAATAGAAATAAGAGTCAAGAAATCAAAAGGCATATTGAAATGAGTAGATCTGTATCAAGTGCTTCTTTAAATATGTGATGAACAAGGATGTTACTTTAAAGAATAAGGTGTGCCTGCCCCAAGCCATGCTATCTTTGGTTGTTTCATATGTATGTGGAAGTTGGACATATGGTAAGGAAGTATGAAGAAGAATTAATACTTTTGAATGTGGTGTTAGTAAGGATACTGAATATACTATGAAATTCCAAAAGATGTCATAAATGGGTAAAAGATCAACTATTAGCTGAAAGTTTACTGGTTCAAAGCCACTCAGCTCTGCATTCAGAAGATAAATCTGGTAATCTGCATCCAAATGATCAGTCTTGAAAGCTCTACAGAGCAGTTCTTATCGGCAGGCGTGGGGTCACCATGAGTTATAATTAACTCAATGGCAGTTAATAACAAAAGATAAGCCAATAAAAAGGTTAAAGTGTGACAGACATCAAGGGAATTATAAATTCCAGGAAAATCTGTTCATACTCAAGTCGCTCTCTGTCATCAGATGTTGGAATACCGCCAAGTCTACAGTTATAAGCACAATAAATCTCTAAGGACTTGAAAGAAGTCTCTTTTAAGCTTATATCTTAAAATCCCTTTACTTTACCTGGGGCCCATCTGGATTATACTTTTTCATCAGTCACAGTTCTACTGGGCTTTGACAAGCTCTCATTGTTCTTGAAACAATGAAGCAGGAAATTTTAAGACCTGTAAAATTGCACCTTTGGTCAGACTCTAGCTCTTCTCCAGACTTATCTCTGACTTCACTTTTCACCTGTCCATCACATTCCTAAATATGGAAGTTTCTGTTATTATAAATCTTTGGTTCACCACACTTCCCTTTTCAGCATTAATCCCAGCTGACTATATCTTTGTGTACATTATATTAATATCTACATTCTCCAAGAGAACTCTTAAAATTCATGTCTCTTTTCACCACTATTACATGCTTAGCATATACACAATGCTTAGCAAATGTTCGCTATCAATCTACTAAGTTGTTATTAAAACATTATGTTGCTTCTTTATACTTGATTGAAAGAGACATATTTTGGAAGGAATTACCCTAACACAAGCACAGCATCATCCAACGCAACTGGATCATTTTCAAAGGGGAAAAAAACCACAAAAAAACACCTCTTGAACTCAGCGTCACTGGAGTCTAGAGGGAAACCATCTTAGCGGTCATTAGAAATTTAGATAGTCTTTAATAGTTGTTAATAATATATTTTTATTACAGTGTGATGTAGTAACAGAAGTCATCCAGGAAAGGTAAAGTTTTGATCTGTATCTAAGAAAGAGGGAAATAAGTAACTTCTCTTTAAATTTATAGTATCCACTGTTGCATTAGAAAATTTTCTCATCTTTCAGATGTAACTTATTGCTAGTGAAAAAAAATTGCGGTTTTTTTCTGACCTCATAACAAAAGTGGACAAATGAAGCGTTCCCCAACTCACAACAGAGCAAATACCCTTACAGTTTACCCCTTCTTTCATTCACTAGGATAATTGAGTAAAATGTATTTTCCAAGTCCCTTTAGTGTTTATTTACAGTCTTAACAAACGATTGTTATATAATGTCCCACAAAAAAATCTGCTGAAAAGGAAAAGATTGTATTGAATGCAAACCAAATTTTGTTTCATGTTGCCTGAACAAAGCAAAAGGAGAAGTTTCCACTTGAATTCTAAATTGAAGATGACCTTGTGCTTTTTTGAGAAGGGCTGGCAGCTGAGGTCACTGGAGTGTATTATGATGGACAGTCGGCTGCGCCACGTGCCTCCGAGGCATGTCCATTATGTGGATTACAGCCAAACCGAAAGAATTAGACAGCTCAGAGCATTCTATCATTTTATTTGAAAATAATGGCCAAAGTCATGGGCAGCAACCATTACAACGTTCATGAAAGAATAGCAGCATTCAATAATTCCTTCACTTCAGTCTGGCAGTGTAGCTATTCTCAACTGAGTACTAGCAATCCACTATATTCTGTACCAGTTCCTTGTGACAGTCACAGAAGCAACATTTCTGCTTCCCCAGTAGGCGAATTGCATCTGCACTGCACTGCATATAATGCTATCTGAAAAGATGCAGTGCTTTGCATCAGATGGGCCAAATCATTGAGACAAATGCAAGGAGAGAGGAGGAGAAGCAGAAACTCAGGACAAGATTTTTCTGGAAGGTAAATGCTATCAGCTACACACCAAGGCAGCCACTTTACAGTCGCTAATTTACTATTTTAAAAAGCTAAACAACAAGCTCATTCCATTTCCAAACCGAATGTCTGTTAGCCCCTTTATAATAATGACATTAACAAAAGTGTTTTCAAAGAAACCCAGTTCAATGTCAGTGGTTCTCTATGAGCCAGCTAAATTATTTCTGAAGCAGCAATATTAAGTTGAGTATTTTGATGGACAGAAGCTTATCTTTAACTTCTGATGCTTCCAGGAGCAGATTAACAATGGTGTGTAGGCATACACACCCCAAAATCAAACAAAGGGGGGAAAATATGCTTGAAATTTGAAAGCAGGTGGGAAAACTCACACTTTTGATTTGAAAAAATAGGCACTGCTTCTAATCCAAGACTTTGCGCTCTCCAGATATAACATCATTTTAGTACTGTGGGGGTGGGGAGACAACAGCTTATTGTCATTTCTAAAATATTTAGAGACCAAAAGGAAACAAGCTATGGGTTGTAACTTACCATTAAAATTGACAGCTCGGATGTAACCAAGGAGCTCCTTCCCGTCGATGACACTCATCCGTGGACACAGGCCAATGTACCCGGGACAGAGATCCTTGTGCAAATTGTGCAGGGCATATGCCATGGAATAGACCGCATCAATGACAAACTGGACCTTCCCTTCCTGCTCATACGATGAATCCCGTGCAATGCGCTCCAGCCCTGTAAAATAAAAAGGGCAACCATCGATCCTCTCCACTAGATTTCAATACAAGATGTCATTAGGGCTAAGACTTCCATCACTGAAAGTACATTTAATGAGACAAAACCATTTGATTTCATTACCGATTACTAAAGCAAGGCAGAAACTTACTGAGTCAGTTTTTTAAGCTGGACTTTGGGGTTTTCATTGGAAAAGAACAGAAACAATTTTATTAGATATTAAAAAGATAAAAAGTAAAGAAGAGAAATATAGTTTCATTATCTTTATTTCCACTTTATTGTGCCCTATTAGGTTGCACATTCTAGTAATTACATAACATTTCAGTAGTTGCTTGATTTTTCAAGTGAAATGCATAGAAAGTCATTCATACTATCTCAGCTCTTGTGTCTTAAAAAAATACCAAACAACAACAACAAAAGGCCAGAACCTTACTATTTTATCTTATTTTTAATATTCTCTATTTAGAGCTCCTTGGCTTTACGGTAAGGAGTTATGCTGGCAAACCAAAGGCATGTCTTTGAATCCACAAGCTGCTCTGTGGGAGGATAATGGGTCATCTTCCCCTATGTGATTACTGCATCTGAAATCCTCCTGGAGGGTAATCATTATTGCATTTGACACATCAGAGTCAGTGTTCAGCCTCACAGCAATCACAAGTTACCTCTCTACAGCAAATGGACAGACAGTGCTATACCACTTAGAAGAATGACCAAAAACAATTAAAACCAGGCCTGAGGACTTCAGACTAAAATCACCCACCTTTGGCTTGGTAGCATCACTTTCTGTCCACTAGGCCAACTGAACTCTATGTTGTTGTTGTTGTTGTTGTTAAGTGCTGTCGAGTTGTAGATGACTCATAGTGACCCTAAGAATGAAAGACCTGAACACTTATAACTTTAATCGTTTCTCCAAGTTCATAGGGTTTCTGGAAGCAAGCTATTTCAGAAGTGGGTGTCACTCCTGCTTCCAAGATTGTTTTAACTGGGGAGATGCACAAAACACTGTCCACCATGGGTAAGGTCTTTCCTCCATAGAGTCCCTATGAGCCATCTATGACTCGACGACACTTAATAACAACAACATAAAGTTCCTATACATTGCGGTCCACACTACCCTTCATTCACATTGTTTCATATAATCCTTCCCATTCATACTTGATAAAATTAATCATCAGTAAATTATGTCTATCATTACTCTTTTTTCTTAGAATAATTATTGGGAAATAATTATTTCCCATTTATTTTCTCTTGAACTCATTTTTTTATTAAGAATTTACATCTTTCCAATTTAATGTCATTCTGAATAATTGTATTTATCTTTAGAGAATCTTTTGGGCTGAGAATTTACATTGTCTTAGTGTTTATCATTGAATATGTTCAAGAAGTAAAAAAGAAAAAAGATGAAAAAGAAAAATATATCTACCATCATCTGAAATTCGAATTTTTAAGATAAGCAAACCAAGGTTCAAGTCATATGGGCATATACAACTTATAGGGAAGAATTCCTAAAAATTGAACTTTAATATTTGTTCACTCCCTTCAAAACTTGGTGGATTTATGTACACAAAAAGGAGTTCTAAAGGTAGCTCTAGTGGCCTGGTAACAAGATGTTGTGCTGCAATGCTGAAGGCATGTGCTTTGAGTCCACCAGCTGCTCTGTGGGAGAAGGATGGGCAATCTCCTCGCATGTGATTAACTACCTCTGAACCTCCCACTCTAGTCAGCTATGGGTTGTTTCCAACTTGATAGTACACAGAAACAACAAAGAGGAAAAAAATTAGACATAGGATCACAAGGTCATCAACGTCTTTCTGAAAGGGCCAGGTTTGTTGTGTACCATAGAGTCTGAACTGACCTATAGCTGACCCTCCGTGGGTTTTCAGAGGCAGTTAATCACATGGGTGGAGATTCCCCATCCTTCCTGGTGAAAGGGCCAAAGGGAGTGAGAACAGCACAGTCCCTCACCTCCCCAGAGCAGAAAGCAGACAAAAAGCCCATGGTGCCTCTAGAGCTACACCCACAGCAACAGGTTTGTTTATTCACAGATCACAGTTATTATACTAACAATGGGTTTTAGTAGGGAAGGAAGTTGGAGAGTGGGGAAGGCAAAGAATATCCCACAATTCAAATCCAAGTTTTAGTCCAAGTTTCAAGGCACAATTCCTCAGTCTAGTTGCCAGTTTCAGTTCAGCAAGCAGTTTTTCCTTCCAACATCAAAGGCAAAAAACAGTAAAATTCTTAACTGTGGCCTTTATCTGAAGGACTCCTCTGGTTACACCTTACCACACACTCTCCACCACCATCACCAGGGTCTCACCCCCAGGCTCTCACTCTTAACATGATCTTGTGCCTATTTTTCTCAAATCTTGCCACCACAAGTCTTGCTCTCTTCAGGTCTTGCTGTCCAGTATAGGAAGCGCAGCACTCTTTCTTTTATGCTAGTTCCACAGCTGTTAGTAATTTGTAAGACTATGGTGATTTGCAAGACCTTGTGTCTGCAGTTAAAAGTAGGTGGAGGCCAGAGGGAATGACTATAATGACTAAAAAAAAACCCTGGTTTTTAGACTAAAAAGGGCAAACTGCTTCAAAAACACGCTGTAGAGTCAGCTACGGATCTGTTCTGACTCGATGGCATACAACAACAACATCACCTCCATTGAGAGCTCCAGTGGCCTAATAGGTAAGGCGTTGCAGCAACACCCAAAGGCAGACAGGGTTCAAATCCACCAGCTGCTCTGCCTGGGAAACTAACGAATAATCTCCTCCCATGTGATTTACAACCTTTGAAAGCATGTGGGAGGACCAGCTATGAGTCAGTTCTGACTCCATGGCACATAACTGTAACAATACCAACTTCATGTTGTTCTTAAGTGTCACTGAGTCAAATTCTACTCAGAACGACTCAGGAAGTTGAGCAAAACTCCAGAGAGGATGGAATAGACATACTCTCCTAGCTCCAAGAAAATAAAAATTCAACATAATGAATAACTGATTCCTTTTCATATACAATGTTTTCTTATTATGGAGAATATTTAAATTTTCACTATTCCAGTTATTTATTTCCTTGGCTAGTTATATACTCCATTTATTTAGAGTGAACTATTTATTTGGGGTTTTTTTTGTTTGTTTTTGGGTTGTTTTTTTTTTCTTTAAAAGTTTAGGGAACAGCCTAATGACTTGTCCTATGAGAATCAGTGTTTACTAGAAGCTTCTTTCACTATCAGTTTAAGAACATGATGACAAACTGTGAGATTGAAAGACTGAATTATATTACCTTTCCTAAGCAAGGAACAAAAAAAAGAGAAAGAGAGAAAGAAATCACTTGATTCCTTTTCAGACTGTTTAGATAATGTGTTTCTCTCTTCCCTGACACTTCCACTTTAGGGTGACACTTCAGATTTTACAGCAGCCAGAGTTTCCTCCTTCCTTCCTATGTCTGATTTTCTCATCCATCCAGAGGAGTTTAGGAAGTTGACAGTGACTCATCAACTTAATTGGCTATAAAATTTCATTATGCTATAGTTTCTGAAGTTAGTGCTAATGTATTGCTATAAAGTGCTAAATATTGTCAAAGGCTGTATGTCAGCCATCCATTTAAAATACCACTGATTGTAAAGCTCCAATGTGTTTTAGTGTAGAGTTTAAAAATTAACAACATATAGCCAAGTGTTTGTATGAGGGGTGATCAAGTCAGCTTCATAAATTTCATTATGAGATTGTTTCATGTTTTCATTAATGAAATCTAAGACTTTTAAGTGTATCTTCTGTTCCTGGGAAAAATGATAAATTCCTGTTGTTTCAGCACTGCCACGTGTGCTTCATATACCCTGCAGCCTGCAGCACACATCCCTAGGGATGCAAAGAGCTCAGCTGCTCCTTAAAAAAACTGGAGATCTAAGTCCACCCAGAAGGATCTCATGATAAAGGCCTGGTGGTGATGTGCCACTAAATACCATATTCTGACATACCTAGATCAAAACCAACCAGAAAGGACTAAGTCAAGTTTGCATACATTTGCAAAGTGTTATGGATAAGTTTCTCAGATGATTCTGATAGAAGTTTTACATTTAATGACAGAAGTGTTATTGTTAAACTTCACTTTTTAAGGATTTCTCAGGATATAGGTTATTCTTCAGTCCCACTGAGTCAGCTCAGAAGTACACAACAGAATAAAACTATGCTCAGTATTCTGCCATCCTCCAAACCTGTCACCATGTCAATTCATCTTCTGGAGGATTCTCTTCTCTCATTGGCCCTCTAGATTTTTATTCATGTACATTGTGTTTTGTATAAGAATACATATATGTTGTTTTCTATAATTACTATGGATCTCTGCTTTTATCACCTCATCTCTTCAAGTGTCTATTGTGTCTTTCCTATTCTTTCATCCCCTTTTCCCATCTCCCCAATTATCTCTATTGTCCTAGCGAAATTTCCCTCTTCCATTTTGCTGGCCCCTTTCTCCCCTTCTCCTTCATCTTTTGATCATTTATACATATCTTGCTCAGTTATCCTCTTATTTTCACAATAGTGGTCGGATGCAATATTTGTCCTTTTGTGACTGGGTGATATTTTTTTTACACGCATGGTGACTTTCTCTGGGGACTGACCCTTCCCGGGCTCACAATCCTGGTTTTCAAGGAGCATCCGGCCTCACTTCTTCCAAGGTTGATTTGTTTGTGCTTTTGGAAGTCCATAGTGTGGTCAATATTTTTCATCAACATCACAATTCAAAGACATCAATTCTTATTTGGTTTCCATACCCATTGCCCAACTTTCACATACATATGAAACAACTGAAAAGACCATAGCTTGGATTTAGTTTTTGAAATGTTATGTCAGAAGGTTTTCTTTTTTTCCTGTAATTATACACACACACACACAGCGAGAGAGAGAGAGAGAGAGAGAGAGAGAGAGTGTTTCTCATGCTATTGTATTGATGTTCCAATAGTCAGTTTGGTACAAAAATGGAAGCCCTGTCAGTCACTTTATTCTCAAAT